GATATTGTCAGCCACAGTACAAATACTAATTGGAGAAATGTTGAAACAAGCATTGACAAGGGCCTACCAATAACTACAATTTTGTTTTCCAACTGGTTTTCATTGTTTATCATTATATGATTTCTCCCGAACACTGAACCAGCTCTAAATCCCCTGAAGGGTACTGAAAGGATCATGAGAGTTTGTCCAACTGGTCCACATGTGTTTTGTGGACCCAGAGAAGTTATTTCGGCTTTGTCGCTCGTGGACCCTGTGAGGGCCCTCCTGGAATATTCGATTGGTGGCCATAACTAGGGGCCATCCTAGTTTTTTTACAAGAGCAGTAGGAGTTTGGTCCGAATTGACAGCCTAATGTCTGACCTGTTCCCAGTGAATGCTAGGCTGCCCTCTTTCCCCAATCCTGGTCATATCCTTAATGGGCTGGATACCTAGATGCAGTCAAGGCCCAAAGTGGGTCTGGATTTTGCAGATCATATGGCTCTGCTGACTCCCTCCTACCAAGACCTATAGCATGTACAAGTGCAATTTCTAGCTGGGTGCAAAGCAGCGTGGATGAGAAACAGCTCCTCTTGGCTAAGGCCATGGTTTTTGACAGGAGAAAATATGGCTTTGTCGTTCAGGTTGGAGGAGAATTCCTGCCTCAAGAGGAGGAGGTCAGGTATCTTGGGGTCCTGTCCATGAGTCAGAGGAGATTGGAGTGGGAGCTCATAGATTGATCAACGTGGCTGATGTAATCTAGACTGCAGCAGTCTATTGTGATGGCAAGAGAGGTAAGTGAAAAGCCAAAGCTCTCGATTTACTAGTCGGTCCAAATTTCTACCCTTACCTATTATCGAGAAATCTGGATCGTGACGAAAATAATGAAATCCCGGATACAAATATCTGAAATATGCTTTATCCAGAGGGTGGCTGGGTACTCCCTAAGAAACAGGGTTAGAAGCTCACAATGAGCCATTGGGGAGAGGCTTATAGTAGTGCTTCTTCTCTTCCACATCGAGAGAGTTAGCTGGGGTGGCTTAGACTTTTGGATGCCCCCTGGATGCCTCCCATAGGTGAGAGAAGGCCTAGGGGACAACCTAGGATGTTCTTGGGGGACTATGTTTCTCTATGCCTGCGAGAACCTGGACTTCCCCAAGTAGAGCTGGAGGAGGTGTCTAGGGAGAGGAAAGTGTGGTGGGTTTCTATGGAGACAATGAGTACAAGATTTGACTTTTGTATTTGACAGGATTTAGGATCGTTTGGCTGGGTTTGATATTAATGTCATCAGTTACAAATCTTAGAATCTCTTGAAAGCCAGGTGTAAACTTTGCTCTACTCTAGCTGCAGAACAACCTGAAGTTGTGTGTGTGTGTGTTTTTTGAACAAACTTTAATATACCTGATTATTTTCTTGTGTGATTTATTCAAGTATCTATTTCTTCATAATTAAACACAACACATGTACGTATATGCTGTAGACAGAAAAAACACTATTATCTTTGACACTACTTTCTACAGTAGTTCATTACATTTTCCCATCCTTATGTTCTGATTTGAATTACTCCATTGAACAAGTTTACTCTCTCCGTGCTGACTTTTACTTTTCATTGATGGAAAGCTATCATACATTCTATGTCTTTTACAGAATGATGCACTTTATCTCCAAGCAAATTGGCATGATGAAATCTACAACAGTGCAAAAACACTGAACTGAACAGTAAAAAATGGCTCTCTCTTAGTTGGATTTAAAGCACTACAGGCAAAACGTATTAGTATACGCAGAGCAACAATCATTGAACTATTGATTTCCTCATTAGTACTTTTGTCAGGACCATTTAGCCACTTTATAAATGAGCTTTCATTAGGGTACTTGCAAGGTAGCCCCACTCAGGGTTGATTTATTACGTGCAACATGGTCAATATCAGAGGGGGCAGGGGGGGTTGGGGGCAAACTGAAGGAGTAAAAGCCAGAGAGTGACAATGGATGTCAACTCCTCATTAGAATATTCTTCAAAAGAAAGGCAGCAAAAGAAAGGAACCCAGGCCAGAGCAGGTTTGCAAATAAACAAATGAAGTTGGCTACTCTGAAAAGCATATTCAAAGCATGTGGTTTACAGCAAGGAGAAAGGCGGATACATTACGAGGAGTGTTTGGCGTCCTTGGAATCCTTCCTCATGCTTTCAGGGACGGATCATATGATTATAGTTAATTTAATAGTTTTTAATTGCTGGTCGAGTTCAGAAAGAGAGGGAATCATTTTACCCCTATCCAATATTCATTTGTTTATGTATTTTCTTCAGAGATAAAAACCTAAGAATATCTAGAAAGATAAGGACATACCAAAACATGGAACATAAAAATACATAAACCAGCATATTGAAATATAATAGTATTTAAAGTGATAAAATTAGATGAGGTAGAACTAGAAAGCTTGTCTAAATAAAGATCTTTTAAGAAACTTTTTAAACACATCTGAGTCCAGACAATGCATCTCAAGAGGAAGTTTATTCCATAGCTGGAGGCAGCAGCTGTAAAAGATTGATATCC